TACCTCGCGAAAATTTTGTCGTAACCTCTCCCTCCCTTCTGTATTCTCTTCTTCTCCCTTTATTCTCACCCCTCCCCCCACTCCTTTTTTTTATTTTTTTATTTTTTTACACACAGGTTGCCAGTGTAGATAGTTATCCTTGCTGGAGAATAGTGTCGTTCTTTCCTATAGTCATTCATCTATAAATGCAAGGTCTTATCTAAGTAAGAAACAAAATGGGCAGACAGAATGCGTAATCAATCCGTGATTCATGTGTCTTGGTTAAGAATCGGTAAGAGTCTGCAATTCTTCTATGCATTCAACTCTAAATCCTCCTACCCTCTCTTCTTCCTTTCAAATTTTATCCCTCTCTCTCGCCTATTTCCTTTGTTAGCTAAGTATCACTGCTTGTTGAAGGAGCAAGGGTTCCTCCCGTATCTCACGTCGTCCCTTTCTTAAAATAAAAATTGACCATAAGGATGCAAAACTCCAGAGCGAGATTTGTGGCTTAACATACTGCACACCATTGACATATACTGAACCGTTTGAGGTTTGAAAACATTCTATTTGTTCCTTGGTTTTTAAACTAATTACTCCTCTAGTGATACAACATTACTAGAAAGAAATCCTAGACAACGATTTTAACCGAAAGTATTGAATGTTCAATCCGTGCACAAGACAACTTGAGAAATCGAAAAAATCGAGCTGACACAAAAGCCAAGAAATCCAAAAAGAGTAAACCCGAATCTGAGCTACTTTGTCCGTCAAATTGGTCAGTCTAATAAAAAAAACCCTGGCGCCAAAACAAGGAGTCGGAATCTGACGAGGACCAATCAGACCCTTCGCCTCCTTCCCTTTCAGACCATAAGGATTGTGAGAAGTACAAAGGTAGCGAGTTTTTTTTCAACGGCAAGGTAACTCCGGTCTTGCTCACAATCACCCTGCGACTCTTCCCAGATCCTTCCTTTCTTTCGCATAAAATACTGGTTAACCATGCTTCTTCCCCAAAACGTATGAGCGCTTCGAGATGAAGGCTGCTCTTCCCTGCTTTCACAACATCCTTAAAAATTTCCTTAATTGCCGTCTTCGAAAGTCGAAAATCTCCTTCCCGGGTGCTGCGCGGATCCAGAAGGTCGAGAAGTTCTTCAAAAAATACGCCATCAATAGAAACATGTCCTGCACTATCCAGGGCAATTCCAAGGCCTAAGAAAGCACGCACATTATCTCCCACCCAACGATCTCTTCGCTTCTTCGGAATTTGCCTCAATTGCTGCTGCAAGCTCATCCTTACTTAAATCGATTATGAATCGATTGTCATTCCTGACCTTGAAGCTACCTGCCAAGAGGACACTCATAATCCAGTGATCCAGCGCTCGGATCCACATGGAGCGGTGAACAATTACTACATCTTGCTCGACACCTGCCCTAATCAGTCTGCAAAAGCAATTACGATATAGAAATTCTTGTATTGCCTTCATTGCAAACTGATGGCCGACATGATCAATGAAATTGTACCGAAGTTTCTCAAGTCTCCAATCCTTGAAAAGTTCAGCTTGCCCTGGCGATGACATCGTCCCCGTGTTGTCGTCCATAACTAGATAACCGCTTAGGGCTTCGTCCAAGCGAAAAATTTCATCTTTCGTCCCCAAACCTACTCTCAATCCCTTAACCTCCCTCATCAATTTATTGCCAACCTCTCCCTCAAAAGGGTCGACTACCGCATTGGGGACGACTGATGCCTAGTCCCCCCCGGACCCTACCACCCCAAAGGCCGCGCACATCATCGTCCTAATTAGAATGAGCAGATTTTGAAACTCCTTCCTTCTTTCGGTTCCAACAACCTCCATGAGGTGAAGAGAGAGTAGCCGGTGATGGTGAGAGTAACCAGGTCTCTATCCTAGCCGTCGGTAACGTGGAGTACTAGCCTCTCATCCTACTATTGCAGGTCTAGGATCTCTCATACGCATACAGCGATACATAAATCCTGGACAGAGACCGTACTTATACTGCCCTTTGGCGGTGAGTGCAGTCCCTCGGTTCGAATTTCGGTGAATTTCCTTTCCTTTCCCCCTACTCCAAAGTCTTTGCGGGTTGGCGGGTTTTTCCTTCCCCCTTTTGGCCCGATCTACATATTTTTGTTTGCGTTCCCCGAGGTTCCTGTTACTTCGCCCCTGCTTTGCCCGTTTCCCCCTGACTATCTTAAACTGCAACCTTTTTTTTTTTTTTTTTTTTTTTTTGTGTGTGTGTGAATAGCCCAAGCTAAGTTTATTATAATTGAAGGTGAGCGTCTGGGCGCACTAAGGCTTTAGAGACATCGTGATTCAAATTTAAGTCGATAATTTGCCCTATCATGAATTCGATAGTCGGCTCCACATACTGAGACGCGACTTGAATTTTGAAAACTTAGTAGCTAGTTCATAGCTTAGCTTCAATTAGTAAGTTCACATCATCGAGGTTCCTAATCCAAGTTTCATTTTTTTAAGCCCTAGTAAGTAACTATTCTGAATAAGACTTTTGTGAGATTTGCGAGTTGTTCCTTCCTTCTCTCTAACAATTCCGCGATAATTCTTAATAGGCTTCTCATTCTTCTTGATAGGTCAGTTCTCACCAGCAGGTTTTCCTTCGATCAGAACACCTTGAGTCTATCCTTCCTTGGTAAGCGATGACTTAGTTCTAAGTACCCTTAGTTCAAAATTTGGGTTTTGTCGAGTAATTCATCAAATTGCTCCCGATTTATTTATCTGTCGCCCGACTACTATCATATGATGAATTGCAAACTCAAGTGTGATGCTAATTCTGTTGGTTGAAGTTAGCTTAAACCAGTATCCTAGTCTATTAAGTTGCTTCCAAATTACTATATTGGCGTAGTCGGCTCCTAAATATCATTCCTGATAGGTAGGTAGCTTTCAATTTCACTTGAAATGGCAAATTAACTGATTTCTAAATCAGGTGCGTTCTAGGAAACTATCTTAAAGTTGTGAGTAATAAGGCTTCCTCATTCTTGTCAGAATGAGGTTGCCCCTTCGCTCCCTGATCGAAAGTATTTATCGCCACTTGTAAGTAGCAACCAAGCTACCACTATTAATAGTCCTGTCGTTAGTTCGACAAGTGTTTCGATCTCAGGCCCCTCCTTCGAAAATGACTCCATACTTTGCTCTCTACCTGCACTAACTAGTCCTTCGTTCTCAAAGTCGTCATAGTCGAAGTTCTTCTACAGTAGAGTTCAGAAGAAGAACTTCATGGTGAATCTACGAGGTGCGGCAAGAAAATACCTTCAGTTTCACCTAGTACCGATTGAAAAGTTCAAGGAAATCCTCTCACTTATTCGAAATTATAATCGGTCAAATCAGAAACTTAGCAACGGGAATTAAGCAAGCTTCTTGCCCGATTAATCTGCAATTAAATGCTCTACTTAGACATTCAAAAACAGCAACGCAGTCATTTCATACTGGTTTCGCTTACCTTGCCCCTCTATCTTAAAAAAGAGTTGCCTTAGCACTGAGAAAACAGCAAACTGGAATTCAGCTGAGACAACCTAAAGAATGAACTCCCAAGTAATAAATTCCACTTCGAGTATCCCAATTTCCTATAAGAGAGAATTTTTATGCAAACAAGAGCAGATTCCTCAATCCTAAGGAGTTGGGTACGTACCTAACCCTCGAAAAATCGCGTGCACGAGCTCTACGAAAATTTTGCGAAAATAACCTTCCACCAAACTTACTGAATTTCTCGCTACTTCATTGCGCAGATTTGCGCGTGCTGTCTCTTCCACTGCTCAAGGCAGCGCTCATGCTCAAGGGACCTCAATGTGCCCGGTGATGCTCTAAATATAGCAAACGTGCATCCCATTGGGGGCAACTTGGGAGGAGGCCCGGGTGTCCCTGAGGAGCTTCAGCGCCTCCTGGTCCAAGACCCCAAGTAAGGGCCACGAGCCTCCTCTTTCGCTTCTTTGCTGCAGTTCAGGTGTAGCCAGGGGGAAAACTCTCACCGTTACTTTGCAGTACACGTGGGCCAAATAGGCCTTCCTGAAACTGGACCCTGCACATGATGATGACTCCCCGGAAAACTTGTCCACAGCGTGCGTTTCCCGCCAAAGGCACCATGTCACACAGTTGTAAAAATCAAAATCAAAATTTATTTACAACTACGCGGTGCAGGTCGGACCTAGGCCCCCGGGGCAAGGTCCCACTTGCGCAAATCAGGAGATTTCGGACGTTGATCTCTGCTATCTACGGTCAGTATCTCTTAATTCATGCAAGTGGGACCCTACACACCGTAGCCCCCAACAGTATCACTTAATTCGGCTGCCAACAGTTTTTTTCGTTGGTTTTCGGTGAAATCGTGGAATGGAAGGGTTTTGTGGGCGGCCGGGGGCCAAGTCCCACTAGTAGCAGCGTTGAGCTACCTCAACGCCTGAATCTGGACTCTTTTGCGGAGATGTGCAGAAATGGTGTTGAGTTTGCTGAACTGCACGTCTCCACAAACACGTCCAGTTTCAGGCGTTGAGGTAGCTCAACGCTGCTAGTGGGACTTGGCCCCCGTACTCGACGCGCTCACGCACCTATGGCCTCTCCACGGCTACTCCCGCGCCTACTCCCGGGGGCAAGGTCCCACTTGCACGGATTAGGAGAATCTGGCCGTTGATCTTTGATATCTACGGTCAATATCGCTTCGTGTAAGTGGGACCTAGCCCTGGGGCAAGGTCCCACTTGCACGAATGAAGAGATAGAGACCGAAGATAGCCGATCTCGGAAATCTCCTAATCCGTGCAAGTGGGACCTTGAAATCTCCTAATCCGTGCAAGTGGGACCTTGTCCCCGACCCTGCTTTCGCCTACTCGCTACGGGCGTACTTCCACCTACTGGACGTGCTTAGTGCCACCTGCCCACTCTCTCTCTCTCTCTCTCTCTCTCTCTCTCTTCCCCCCCCCCCCCCCCCCCCCCCCGCCCTCCCTCCGCTTTGGTGCTTAGTAGTACGCGGTCCGTACTTCGGTGCTTTGAGGTACGTGTGCGGTGTTCTACGCGATATTGGTGCTTGGCGCTTCGCGAATAGCATCGTGAATTTGGTGTCCTACGTGCTCGGTGCTTCCGCGGAGCATTGTGGACTCTGTGCTTCCTGCTTCCTGCTTCGTCCTTGCTACTTCGTGGATGCGGTGCCTTGGAGCATCATCGTGAATTCGGTGCTTGGTGCATCCTGGGCTCGTGGTGAATTCGGTGCATGGTTCGTGGTGAATCAGTGGTCCATGCTACTTGGTGCTCCGTGCTCCGTGCTTAGTGCTTTGGTGCTTAGTGCTTTGGTGCTTGGTACTTTTTGTGAGTGTGTGCTTTGGTGAATCGGTGCTGCGTGGATCGCTGCTTCATTCGCGCGTGGATCGTGAGAGTTCCTGCTAAGTGCTCCAACGTGAGCTTCGACGTGGATTCCTGCTAGAGAGTGAGTGTGTCTACTTCACCTCGAACCCACACCCCCAACCCCTTTTTAAAAAACCATAAAAAAAACCTTGCATTCCTTCTCTTTTTTGGGGAGGAGCTAGATAACGGGGGGATGGGGGTCATTGCGGCCAAGCGGGTCAGGCTAGGGGGGCAGGGGAGGGGGTTGAGAGAGAGAGAGAGAGAGAGAGAGAGAGAGAGAGAGAGAGAGAGAGAGAGATGGGGGAGTCGATGAGGATAGGAGGAAGTCGGTGGC